CGAGAGAAATTTGCATGAGTAAGGGAAAAGAAAATGACAAAAGTGAAAGAAATTTCAAAATATCCGTTTTTTGACTCGTGTTTTCTCTTTTCGCTTTTCTCTTTTCTCATGAACATTCTTTTGCAAAAACAAATCTTTGATTGAAACCTCGGAGAGAAGTACTTTTTTTTTCACTAAAATCAACTCGATAAACAACTTGTTATTGTGCTATTTGGTGGAGGTTTGTCGTGCACATTTGACGATAATTTCAATGGTTTTTGTTCTTGAGATCTTGTTGAGCATTTTGGAGTTTTCCTTTATTAACAAACATTAACTCTTGAGAATCCTCGTGGACTTCTTAGCATTTGCTTTTTAGCTTTTTTAGCTTCTTAGCTTTTTTCAGCACTTCCATCAGAACTAATCTGCTCCGTATGACGAATTAGTGACCAAGAATTACCGCAACACACAAAAGGTCTGCCTTTTAACCAAATATGCAACCCGAATCTCGAAAAGTGAACTTAAAAAACTTCAAGAACACTCCAACGGGAACCAAATGGGTTAAGATCAGGTGAGCGGGTGGACACACACAAGATGAAGCGGGAAGGGTGTAGTGTTCCCTTGAATTCACTAGACGAATTCACTTGAATTAACTATCTCGAAAAGTTAACTTAAAAGTTAACTTAAATATCTTTATTCAACATATAACAGTAACAAATTAAGAATTAAATTCAAATTTGCCTCCATCGGCATTTAGATAAGCTTGCAAACGTTTGGGAAATGCGTTTGCAGCGCGCTGGCGAGCAAATAGGCATCATCGAGGGTATACCATGCTTTGATGAGCGCCCTCTTCAAACTTTCGATATTTTTATGTGGTTTTGCACATGCCCTGGCTTCAAGAGCACTCCAAACTGAGTAATCCAATGGGTTAAGATCAGGTGAGCTGGGTGGCCACTCAGAAAACGAGATGAAGTCCGGGAAGGTACTTTTGTTTTGTGGTTTTTTATAGAGAATCAAGAATTATCGCAACACACAAAAGGCTTGGCTTTTAACCAAATATGCAAACCATTTCGAAAAGTTAACTTAAAGAACTTCAAGAGCACTCCAGACTGAGTAATCAAATGGGTTAAGATCAGGTGAGCTGGGTGGTCACTCAGAAAACGAGATGAAGTCCGGGAAGGTGTAGTGTTCCCTTGAATTCACTAGACGTGGCTAGACCTGTGCGGTTTCGCTTGAACGAATAACAAAAGCAAGTTTATTCAATACACGTGGGACAAAGCGTATGAAAATGTTTCAACGAAGCTCCAAGAAACAATGTGTTGATACAGAGGGAAAAAGGAATAACTTTGATGAAAATTGTGGAAATATCTCGAACAAGAGAAAACAACTTTCACAAGACCAAATGAGAAAACATTCTGGTTAAATAATAATAATAATAATAATAATAATAATGTCTACCGGGGTTACCGGTGATTTATTTTGCACACATATAATCACAATTTACACATTAAGACCTAGGGAATATTCTATCGTTTGTGAGGATGGGACGATGCAGAAGACGATCTAGAAGGAGAAGGCTACCCGCTTTATATGTGCTTGCGCCTTCGACAAGTCCACCCATGATTTATTTTACACTTCTGCACATTATTTTACCGGTGATTTATTTTGCACACAATCACAATTTACACATTACGACCTAGGGCATATTCTATCGTTTGTGAGGATGGGACGATGTAGGAGATGATGTAGGAGATGATGTAGGAGATGATGTAAGAGATGATGTAGGAGATGATTTAGGAGATGATGTAAGAGATGATGTAAGAGATGATGTAGGAGATGATGTAAGAGATGATGTAGGAGATGATGTAGGAGATGATTTAGGAGGAGAAGGCTACCCGCTTTATATGAGCTTGCGCCTTAGACAAGCCTTTGGGATCCATTTGGATCCCTGGTTATCCCAATCTCGAGAGGAAGGGGCCTAGGGGGACCGGTCTTGCGAACCAGTTCACCATATAGGTGCGGCTACCTACAGCACTCGGTTCAGGGAAGATATCCCTGGCTCATCTGCTGGATTCGAACCAGAGACTTGAGAACCAGAACCAAAACAAGAGACCCAACGTTGCTTAACTTGGCAGCTCTGACGGGATACCGTGTTTCAACGTGGCGAGGGAAGGCAAATGGGGAAGGTGTTCTTTTATACGCGTTTGAGCACGACATTGTTTAGGGTACGGTATTTCTGGTGTCTTATTAAATTGTGGCAGCTATTTGGTGACACGTCGTCACAATTTTGCACTTGTAATGCATAAAGTGCCGAAAATAGTCACAAGTATCTTTTTTTGCATGAGTATGAACCTATGCTTTACCTGCTATATCTTTTCAAAGATCTCGGTTCAATTACTCAACTCTGAGCTATCGTATGTATTACTTAATTTAATACCGTATTCTCTCTAATAGTAGTGCACCCCGCCAAGCCGAGTTGATGACTATTTTACGGTTTCCAAGCTTTTGCAGAAGCTCAACACTCTAATCACCAGCTAGATCTCATCATCAGCTACATTTTCCGTCCCCACATCGGTAGGTTCTGATAAGCGGTTTTCGAGATATCGAGCAATTTAGGCAACGCTCAGGGTGTACTACTATTAGAGAGAATACGGTAACTTTTATTTAGAGAAGTCTAATTCAATGGGCCTATTACCGTATTCTCTCTAATAGTAGTGCACCCCGCCAAGCCGAGTTGATGACTTTTTTACGGTTTCCAAGCTTTCGCAGAAGCTCAACACTCAAATCACCAGCTAGTTACATCGTCAGTTACATTTTCCGACCCAACATCGGTAGGTTCTGATGCGCTTTTCTAGATTTCGAGCAATTTAGGCAACGCTACTGTATGGATGCACTACTGTTAGAGAGTATACGGTATCATAATCTGCACTTGTCGATTTACATTTATCGCTTTGTCGTTTACATTTGTCGATTTACATTTAAACACTTTCAATGAATTGAAGACTTTTTATTTTAAAGTTCAGACATTTTTAGACAACTAAGAACTTTTTAAAGCAATTCAATTCTTTAAGAAACTTGAACTTTTTATTGATCTTTGAATAGTTAATTAAAATTTCTCACTCGAAATGATTTTGAGTGATCACCCGGAGATCCGAGGTGAGAGAAAGGGCATAAAAACTTGATTGTCCCAAGACGCCTTTCTCAATTCTCATCAAGAATTCGAGAGAAAAAAGGCAAATAGAAAAAAGAAATCCCTTATGCAACACTGGATCCGGAAAAGGCAAGGAGAAATCGAGAAATCGAGAAATAATCGACACCAAAAAGAAAAAGGATGGGTGAAAAATGAAAAATGAAAACCCTGTCTGCTCCCGGGCATTCCAGATCTCGAGTTTCATAGCTGAATTTCATTTTCAAACACTCGCCTAATCTGTCGTTTTGAGAAATGCTTTACTTGGCACTGTATGCTTTGTTACCAGGTTTGTTGTTTGTACTTGGAGAATTTAGAGCCTATAAATGCTGAATAATGGCAAAAACTGTACAAAAGTATGTGTGCTAGTTCTAGTGTGCTATTTCTGGTGTGCTATTTCTAGTGTACTATTTCTAGTGTGCTAGCTCTAGTGTACAAGTTCTAGTGTACTATTTCTAGTGTGCTAGCTCTAGTGTACAAGTTCTAGTGTACTAGTTCTAGTGTACAAGTTCTAGTGTACTAGTTCTAGTGTACAAGTTCTAGTGTACTAGTTCTAGTGTACTAGTTCTAGTGTACAAGTTCTAGTGTGCTAGTTCTAGTGTACTAGCTCTAGTGTACTAGTTCTAGTGTACAAGTTCTAGTGTGCTAGCTCTCCCGGAAGAAGTTTTCCGGGGATTAGATAACGATAATCGATACTCTGCTTATCTAACTTGAATTCAGCACTGAGTTCGGCTTGTTTCCGAATGCATCCACCAACAACGACTACGACCACAACGACACCAATGAGCACCACAAGTACAGTACTTTTGATTCTTTTGATTAGGCTTAAGCGTAGGCTTAAAATCTTGTATTTTACGGTATGCAACAAATACAAGATTTTAAACCAATTCATCTTATAATCCTTTTCATTTAGCATGCCCAACTTGTGCTGATCTCACACAGAGCACCGCCCCAACAACTGTACAGGTGCAGTTGGTTTAAAATTCTATGGATTAGCTTTAGTAATTAAATTTAGGTTAAAAAAACACACACACAAATAATGTGGTATAAACAATAGACAAGTACAACCCCTAAGCTTTAAATGTAGAGAAGAAAGAAAAAAACCATAGAAAAAAGAACCAAAAACCCAGCCAGCGGGATTGAAACCGATGGCTGAATTTTTGACTAAAATACCTCTAGACTAAAATACAGGACACTTAGCCAATCGGCCATGAGCTTTAGTTGAATGAAAAGTAAAATAAGAGTTTTTTTATTACCGAATTCCAGACCTCAGCCTATTTCACGTTTTCAAATGGATGCTCGAAAGCGACGAACAATTGCCCGACTGATGGAGTGCTTAGGTAAGTGATTTCATGCAATTCCTAGTGGATTACAGTAACTAATTTACCCAGATTACTGTATGTAATGTCGAATTTTTTTCTTGTTGTGTTTTGCAACATAACATTGTCTTATGATAGATTTAAGTCATTTTTTAAGGTTGCCTTTGATGTGCTTTGATTGGCTTATTGCTATAGATTGCTTATACCGTAAATACTATAATAGTACCCCAGCCCCCTCGTACAGTCGCGTAGTCGCAAAAGTTTTTTTAGTATTTCATTGTTTTTCAAAGCATCCGTACTTCCAAAAAATACGTCTTTGGTATCAAAAAATAGCCCTGAGTTTCAGCTATTTTTTGATACCTAAGCACGCATTGTAGCATAAACCAGTGTCGAGAAAAATGCGTCCAAAGCTAGACTACGCAACGCTCCCCACCGTCATTATGGGGGTGGGGTACTATTACAGTATTTACGGTAGGATTAGTGTAACCAGAGTCGGATTGTTTAGTCGTTCGACTGTTTTCCTTAATAAGTTAAAATTTCCAGATTAGAAACCGATCAAGGAGTGATCACGATCCCGCCCACCGACGCCGAGAGTCAAGAGTTGACTTGCACTGGCGGTGATTACGAAACAACGTACAAAGGAACCACATACACAGTCACCGCCGATGTTTGCTATGTTGCAAGTATCTTTTAGAAAACCTTTACTTATTACTGTTCGATTACTGTATAAGTCTCATCATAGTCGAACGTCTTTCTTCCTTTCTTCCTTTCTTCCCCCTTGTCTTTCCCACTTTCTCTTGGTAAGTTAAGGTACCAAATAGCTCAGTGGCTAGAGAAATTGTGCCTGGAGAGCAAAAAGTCGAGGATTCAATCCCTGTCTACCACTGGATCTATCTTTTCTTGTCAATTCCTTCACTTCTTTATTAAGAACTGTTTGAACTGTTTAAATAGTTTAAACCGTTTGAACAGTTTAAACAGTTTAAACAGTTTAAACAGTTTGAACAGTTTGAACAGTTTAAACCGTTTGAACAGATTTTAGATTTGTTAATATATTATTTAAATATCAATTCACATTTCTCTTGTTCCAGGATGTGCACAGTGTCCGATGCCAGTTGTCGATACGGGGATCTCCGTGGTGATCAGCTATGATGCAGACAGTCTTTGCGAGATTGCAACATTTAGTGGATGTGCAACAGGATATCAGTTAGTTTAAGAATTTAAAAAGATCTTTTAGTTTTTAAATATTTGAAGCCCTGTTCTTTCAGAGTGAAGAGCGCAGGCCCGTTCCAGCAAAAATTCACTAGTCCGTTGCCGTGTGTCGATTATGGAGCAACTGCTGGTGGAAGATGGTAAATGAAATAGCTGTAGCTGTAGATTAGCTGTAGATTAGCTGTAGCTGTAGATTAGCTGTAGCTGTAGATTAGCTGTAGCTGTAGATTAGCTGTAGCTGTAGCTATAGCTGTAGCTGTAGATTAGCTGTAGCTGTAGATTAGCTGTAGCTGTAGCTATAGCTGTAGCTGTAGATTAGCTGTAGTTGTAGCTGTAGCTGTAGCTGTAGTTGTAGCTGTAGCTGTAGCTGTAGCTGTAGTTGTAGCTGTAGCTGTAGTTGTAGTTGTAGCTGTAGATTATAAAATTTACAAAATATTATTATATATTTGTATCATTCTTAAGATTTAAACTACTAAAAATACTAAAAACCTTTTTTTCATGATGATCTTCGAATTTTCTATTTTTCAGGTACACAAATCTTACGCCAAACGAAAATCTAGTCACGTGCCGGTAGTTTGATCGATCATAATAATAATAATAATAATATTTTTATTTAAATTTAATAATAAAGATTTCATTGTAAAGTTCCATTTTTTTTGTTTACTTAATCACGATTTTTAAGACCGCATTGAACACGACAAGCGATGTCCTGAAAAGAAAAATTTCCATTCTTAAACTCTTTTCCAAAATTTATCATAGAATATGCATTAGAATAAAACTTAGAGAAATCTCTTTTAAAACAACATTAGTTACTGTACCTCGAAAGCGATTCGCGACCCGAAATCTCTCAAAAGTTGGCCACAATTCGTGACGCTTAGTGATTGACATTGACGCTAGAAAATAAGCTATAAAAAGCAATAAAATCAAGCAATAAAGATGACTTTTAAGGGATATTATTGCAATGTTTTTGAACTTTGAAATAATCTTTTAATCTCTTCTAGGAAATCTTTTCTTTCGAATCTTTCATCCCTAAAACTCACCCCCTCTTTCGTACAAATACAACTCGTGCACGGCGATGGTTGAAACCTCTTTCCCATTTCACAGTCTTCTAAAATTCAGTCTTCTAAAATGAGTCTTTAATTTAAAGTCTTTTCTTGCTTACGATTCTCAATCCATGGATCCAAATTGATTGGTCGATAAGAAGAACAAGTGAGAGGATGATTGCTGAGAATTATGAATACTATTTTGGTTTGGAAAGCATTGGTGAAAAGTTTGGAAAGTATTGGTGAAAACTTGATAGAGTAAAGAAATGAATGGCAAAGAACCGAGGGGGAATTGAACCCTCAATTCTTGTGCTGCTGTGTGCTGCTGCAGATGCTGCTTATCACTGAGCTATCGGCACCTTCTTTGTCTAGGAAGAAATAGGAAAGACAAGGCAGAAAGAGAGGGGAAATTTTCTTCAGTCTTCAGAACTGTGAGCACTTGAAACTTGACCCAAAATACCATTTGTAATAAAGTAAAGAACTGTGGGTATTTGCAATAAAGTTAAATGCATTTGTAATAAAGTTTAAATGCAAATTGGGTCAGAATATCAGAAATTGAATACAGTTTTGAATGAATGATTTGAAAAAGTTACCTAATTTCATCAGAAATCGCGAAAAGATCGGGTTGCAGACGTTGTACCTTTGAGTTCAAGCAGATAATCGATGAGAGGCTGATCGAGCGAATCGATGACAATTGAGCTAATATATTGATTTAATAGCTAACAACAGAGAAAGCTGAATATCTTTAGTTTTTTTTATAAAAACCCTTATTCCATCTTTATAAAAATGGAAATGAAATTTTGGGGTAGGCTAGTTTCCGCAACTTTTTTTGCGCAACTCACCATAACTTTCTTCTAAGTGGGCCAATCTTTATGATTTTGGTTTCATTTTGTTGTACTTATTGAGATCTACAAAATGAAACTAAAATCATAAAGATTGACCCACTTAGAAGAAAGTTATGGTGAGTTGCGCAAACGACCCAGTTGCGCAAACGACCCAGTCGCGCAAATGACCCTGTTGCGCAAATGACCCAGTCGCGCAAATGACCCTGTTGCGCAAATGGCCCTGTTGCGCAAATGACCCAGTCGCACAAATGACCCTGTTACGCAAAAAAATTACGGAAACTAGCCTACCCCGAAATTTTAGACTGAAAGAAGTTTGCGGTAAAATGAAATAGTCTCAAAGGAGCTTTCTAAAGGTTCACAAAATACTCAAAATACTTACCCAAGCTGAATCTCGTATACGGTAGATCGTTCTCGAAATAGAAACGATCGCATCGCTTCAGACGGGCGAATTGCTCGGCGATAAGACAAGAAGCGGTTGGACCGATTAGTGCTCCTTGAATTCGACGCTCTGACAGAATCCCGGCGAAAAGATCTGAGATTTGGATAAATAGATAATATTTTTTTATAGATAACAAACCTATATCGTCGACTGATTCATAGACACTCGAAAGAGCATCGATCGTCGATGGATCGACCTCATTGGAGAGCTCGGCGAATTCGGTCACTCGCTTTAGGCCACAGAGTTCTCTGAGTTGAAAAATTTACAAAGCTTAGACTTGTGCTTGTTGGATCAAACGATCTTATCAAAAAAAAAACTCCTTAAATTCTAAGCTATATCCTAAATAAACCTGTGATCATTGTACGGATTCACCCCATGATCTCTTCCTCGTTGTATATTAATTGCTGGCAAGTCCATACCTGAAAAGTTCACAGTACCTCGATAAATTATGATACTTTATACAAATTGGATTCAATAACGCATTTTACCGGAAGTTGGATTCCCTCGCTTGGCGAAGAGATGATTGCGAACCCCGTCGCTGACATGTCTGTCCATTTGCATCGCCGACGAACCCACCAAACCCAACACCAACGAGTCCAAGCCACCTAGGATATTCAGTTAAAATGTAAGTTTAATTGAATTGAATTGAATTGAATTGAATTGAATTGAATTGAATTGAATTGAATTGAATTGAATTGAATTGAATTGAATTGAATATCTTTTCTCAATGAAAAGTTACAAAGATTCGAAGCAAACTAAAAAAGTAGCATTGAGCTGTCGACTCTTCCATTCATTAACACGTCTTGTATGCAAGCTGTCTACTGTCTACTGTCTACTGTCTACTGTCTACTGTCCACTGTCTACTGTCTACTGTCTACTGTCTACTGTCTACTGTCTACTGTCTACTGTCTACTGTCTACTGTCTACTGTCTACTGTCTACTGTCTACTGTCTACATAAGCTTTTTAAATGTAAATTTATTTATAAAACTGAGTGCACCTGCTTTAAAGTTGAAAATCTCTTGTACTGAGTTGAAATTCTCGGCGATGTCGACAGGCGAACTCCGATTGTGAAAGTCAGCATCGAGTCGATGGAAAAATCTATCATAGAATCAAAGATTTTTGTTTAAAACTATAAGATAACAAAAAAATCCATTAAAGATAACATAATAAAGAAAACAGAGATTTCTGTATGTCAAACCTTTTGACCATTGAGTGCCCAAAACGGTAGGCGGCTGTGGCAAAAGGATGAGACACAGAAGCGTCGCATGAATCGTCGTAATCTAGAATTTTAGGTAGGAAAATCAACTGATAAAATCACTTTTGAAATGTCCGCTTTTCTCCGCATTCAACGCGTATTTTCGCATTTGTTTATGGCCGAGGATTTTCGGGAGAAACTCGCGGAAGATGATGCTTTGAAGGAGAGCGCCGATGATGCGACGAGTTTCCTAGGAATTTTTCTGCTTTTTTCAGTTACTGAAGGGTTTTTCAATGAGCAACCGTGCTATCTAACTATCTTGTCAAGCATTTTGAGCATGAATCTTTAAAAAGATTACTGTAATTTCCTAATGAATTTCCACGTCTGACTTTCAGAAGTACATGGTGAGAGAAGTGTCTAGAAATCTTTCTGTAAGTTACAGTAACCCTTTGGTTACTGTAACTTACAGAAAGATACTGTGAAAGCTGTGAACTGTGAGCTGTGAAAGCTGTGAGCCTGTGAAAGCTGTGAGCCTCGTTCAAGTATGCTAAGTGAAGGTTTACTTGATAGATCTTCTCGTCACCCCAGTGAGCATTTCTTTGTGACAACTCGTCGGCGATTCTGTTGTGCTCTCGCAAAAATATTGTGTGCAACGAGGCCAGGGTGGGCACTTGAGAGTTACGATCATCACCTAACAATTTTCAGGTTTAAATACCCAATTTTTTTTCATCAACACACCTGCTCTAAAGCAAGGGAATTCCCGGCCCGATTGACAGTCAGGATCGTCGGGATTTGGTGGCGGGAAATCTCTAAACAGTATGCCATTTAGTTTTCCAATTTTAGGTTACTTGCAGCTCCGTTCTGCTAAGTTTAAAGTTAATTTTAAGATCGATTAATCAACTTCTAAATTTCTACTCATTTTTCAAATCACAAACCTTTTTCCATGAGTTTTGAACGCGTTGAGTTTCCCTCCAAAAAACGAGCGCAGTCGATCCGCTTCGCATTTCGTTGAGCCATAGATCTGCGAAGCGTCCAGGAAAGATGTTATCTATGATAGTATTATTTTAGAGAATGATTTCTCTAATTTCTCAGTTCTACAGCAACAATATTGTTATTTCAGAGAATCATTACTTGAGTGATTTGATTCCTGTATCCAAGAGTGGTCTGTCCGGGTAAGGTTCGAGTCACAGGGAGACATTTCGGCCGTCCGTTCTCGATCGATGGAAAAAACGGGTCATCGGGTGGGATCGCAATCGGGATACAGTCTTCTAAACTTGTAAACTGACAAGGAAACGTCAACTGGATGTGCTGGCCAAATCACATGGGCCATAGACCATTCAACGCAGAATTTCACGCTGAAAAAAAAGCTACAGCTACCGAACTCGAGCCAGGCAGCCCTCGACTTGCGTCCCAACTCACTACCACTGCGACTGCTGCGGACAGGCCACCGCTGCGACTTTTGACCCCGCGGAAGACACGGTTGTAATGTCGCGGTTTGATTTTTGAAATTTGTTACAAAACTAAATGCTTATAACTTTTGACAAGGTGCTCCGTAGCAAAAAAGAAAAGCAGTATCATGATCAGCGTGAAATTCTGCCTCGAATGGTCTATGGCTCATTTGATTTGGCACATTCAGTTGACATTCTCTTGTGAGTGTCAGGGTGTGAGACCTGCTTTTTAACCTTATCAAACGGATATGCGTCCTACAGTCAAATTCAGTGGTGGAGGAACCATGGTTTGGGGTTAGTAAATGTTTTTTAGATTGTGCCTAATTCTGTCTATATTTAGGTTGCATGTCATCGTCCGACGTTGGTCCGCTAGTCTTGATAGACGCTATTCAGCTATTCTGCAACATGATTTTGTTGCAGAATAGCCGAATAGCACAAAAGGATTAAACGGGTTTTTTTGCCTAAAAACGCTCACAACATAACAAAAAGCACGCAACACTCAGCATAAGGTTAATGCTCGTGATACGAGTACACAAGATTGACGCGCTTCGTCGATAGCAACTCAAATATTAGCAGATTCTTTCTATAATGCTAAACTAAATAAATAGAATTTAGTATCTTAAGGGTATTTTAAAGTAGATTGAATTTATAATTTCACAATTTATTAGTACAGAAAGGCAGAAAGGGCTTTTGCTAGCTAGATTTTCATAAGCTATTCATTTTCTCCACACTTCTCCACAGAATGAGACGGCGACGCAAATCAAATGCAAATAGGAACGTAATTTTTGAAGGGAACGAACTGGAATGTTGCCAAAAACCCGTTTACTCCAGAAATCGTACCAGAGACAGTCTCTCTCGAGTCACACGGCTCACAATCGAGCGTACTTCCATCGGGCGCTGTCGCTGATGGTGCATGCGTGATGTCATGGTTGATGAACTGACCAAATTGCATCAACTGATTCAGTTTATTTACTTTCAACTTTCAACTTTCAACCAACCATATGCGTGAACTTTTGGTGTTCATTTGAGTTCTCTCGAAACATTCGATTCGAGATTTGTCGTGCGTTTGGCAAGGGATGACCCTGGGTTGATCTCCATCGTGGCTCATCGAATCCTAAATAAAATATGATTTTGGATTTCTTCATGAAATTAGGAAATTTTAGGCATTTTTATAAGTATTTTAGTATGTTAATCTCCCGGTGATCTGCTAAGAAACGGGTGAAGAAAACGATGGTGAAATTGGGCTCAATCTGAAATTTTCTATATCTAAATTATAGCAATTGACAGCAGTAACACTTTTAGCAGACTATTTAACTTCAATGAAAATCGAAGAAGATGGTTTTTCCTGTCAATATTGTAGTCCTGTAGGTACTGCAAGTGTCGTAAAGTATTGTACTTTATGTACACATGTCTGTACATAGGTTGGCAATAATCAAATCTTTCATAGTACTTTAATTTTACAAAGTACATGGAAAGTTATAGGTTGTTAGGCATTTTTGAAATACTTGAATCAATCTCTAAAATATAGACCAAACAAAATTTTGATTGCTATTAATTTTTGAGTTTTTAAGCTGTTCGAAACGGTGCTAGGCGTGAAAAAGAAAATCAGCTTACAAAGCTTAGACTTGTGCTTGTTGGATCAACTTAATTTGACCATAATTTGACACCTATAATTTGACACCAATTCCCAGGATCAAAGATTGGTCAAAGAGTAATATTTTTAGCTCCTGTACCATCCTTGCAACCTCTTCAAACCCCTTGGAAACTCTAAAGCTAAAGGCAATCAAAATTGTGTGATTGTGTGATCTAGAGTGTGATCTAGAGTTTGATTGAAGCATTTCAAAAATGTATAACAACTTTCCATCTACTTTGTAAAATAAAAGATCTATATGTCGTAGCCGATTATGAATGAAATTTTTTGGTAAATCTTTCTAGTAGAGCAACCCTTTAATGTATGAGAACAATATTATCCTGTAGCGAATTAACATCAACATCCTGTAGCTAATTAAATTCTGCGTCGATTGGTACCAAATTTGTGAGTTTAGGTTAAAAATTACCGGCGCTACAACGTTTCATTCAAAATCGGCGGGACCCCCCGTAGCCGATTATGAATGAGTGGGTCTAGGAGCGTCCGACCATCAAGTATTTGGTATCATTCAACGCAGAATCATTAATAATTATGTTAACTTTTTAAAATTAGAAAGATTGGATAAAAAGAAAAAAAATTATGGGGCCTCAAAGTTTCCTCTTGAACAAACCGTTTTTTTGCTCTAATTTTTTTTCTTTTTATCAAATCTTGCTAATTTTAAAAATTTAACATAATTATTAATGATTCTGCGTTGAATGATACCAAATACTTGATGGTTGGGACGCTCCTAGACCCACTCGTTCATAATCGGCTGAAATTCATAATCGGCTACGACATATAAATAACAAAAGATATAATAAAAGATCTAATCATTATTGTCAACCAAATAATGACCATCATCATAAGCGGGTGGTAAAAGTCGTCGCATCGGTCGAAACGCGTTTCCATAGTGAGGCTGACGGAGATTGTTGCACCAGCCAGAAAATGATCTAAAGAAAAAGAGGCCGATGACAAGATCTTCGAATAGGATGATGATGATGGTCATTATTTGTTCTACCCACCGATAAGCGGTCGTCGGATCGCAAGGCAACACCGTATCCACACACTGATCACTCGTCGTATTCCCGTGAAAGCCAAAAATCCACGACAAATTTCCGAGGATGCTAGATGGAAATAAGAAAATGATTGATTTGCATGGTAAAAATATTACGGCTGAACATCGATTTGCATGAGGATTTTGTGGATTCCATTAGGGTTGAGGCTGTCTCGCGGAAAAATGAAACCATCATCAAATGGATGACCGTTGAGTAAGAGACGGGTCGACTAAACAGGATTGGATTTGAAATCGGAATTTGAAAAGTACCATAATTATTCTAATAGAGAAGCAAGTCCGTCTATTCTCTTCAGAATTCTTTTCACCTTTCCAAATATTTGGTACATGCATAAGAATTTATATATAGTTATCCTTTTTTTTTAAATCTTCAATTTTGGGAAGCTAACTCTACTTTGACCACACTAAACTTGTCCCTAAAGTGACTCGATTCCTTTTTTGGTCACTCGCATTTCGCCCTCGAAATTTCTTCAATGATTCGATCAATTGAAACACGTTTTAGCCTATTTTGTAGAGGAGATTTACAAGTTTCAAATATTAGGTTGATGCATAAGTGTTTTTGTTCCTTTTCGTCTGCCGTTTCAAGCCAACAAATGCACGAATTAAACTACGGTTGATTTCATTAGAAAAAGCAATTATTTTTCTGCAAAATAACATTAAAACGGGTTTAAAAATATTTAATGCCTGGATTTTCTTGAGAGTATGAAGTCGGGTAGTCAAAAAGGGCTAACTCGATGATGCGGTTTAGACACCTTAGCTAAAGAAAACCTATCTTCGTGTCAATAGATAAAAGATAGAGAAAAAAAAACGTTTGATATTTCGCCAAAATTTCAGAGAAATTCATTCAGCCAATTTTTCCGTAGAGTTTTTTATAGATTTTTACGAAAAAGGCGTTTTTCACTCTCGAATTTGCTTGAAAGTGAACCGAAATTCATTTAAAAAGATGCAAATTGAACAAAAAAACACTTTTTTTTATAGAGCAAACTATAGATTAATTGGTGAATTTGTTACTTTTTAACAGAAGTACGAAAAAAACGAAAAGACTTATGCATCAACCTAATAGTTTACATTCAAATAGTATAACATTCATCGATATCACGTTTCTATCGTTGGAAATTTATGAAAATGTTGAAATCCGCATTTCTTAGGCATGTACCTAATAATAGAGACGGGTCGACTAAACAGGATTGGATTTTTAATATGAAATTTGAAAAAAAAAAATATTTATTCTAATAGAGAAGCAACTCTGTCTTTTCTCTTCAGAATTCTTTTCACCTTTCCAAATAGCTTTAAAAAAGTGTGTGTTTTATCCGTTTTCGGTATCAGTTGCAGTTACAAAGTTTTGGATTTGAGTTTTTGAAACTACAAAAAAAAAAGAGTTAAGATTTTCACTTTAAAAAAGTACTCTCTTTGATAAGTAACAGAGGGAAATAGAAAGAAATAGAAAGAAATAGAAATAAATAAAAATAAATACAGAAATATATTAGTGAACCTGTAGCAAGAGTCGGCTCACTCGAGACACCGCAATCGCTTCCGATTTGGGTCGCGTGAAGCGACCGTAAAGTGAGATTTGCGGTGACAAGTTGAATGCTGAAATCGAATTCATTCTTTAATCTCCATTCAAATTGAAATCCTTAAATCTCATTTTACTCTTTTCAGCGATTCGATGATCTCTTTGTCGAATCTCTTTCTCGGCCTCATCAAACACTTTTCGACACGATGAACTGGGTAACTTAAACAATATTTTATATTGCTGTTGCTATTGCTTTAATAGAAATGAAGTTTAATTCAAGCTCAAATAAAATTTCTCTTTTTTTTTTGATTTTAAAAGTATCCAATTCTTACCGAAACCTCTCGATGCAGTTCATCCTCTTTCCAAAAGCTCAAATCAATGATTGTACTTGAAAGATTGCAATGAAGAGGAGCATTGCTGAAAAAGATAACGAAGATTTCATACTTTTAATAATTCAATCTTCTTAATACTTCTATTTTTAATATAAGTAATAATATTTTCTCACTCAAAATGATCGGATAGAAGAAAAGCCGATGGTTGTACAAAAGCCACCTCTTCGCTTAAACAAAGAAGACTGAAAATTGGAAAAAAAACGTTATTTTCTGTTGTTTTCCAACAAAAATTCGGAATATAAACAAACAAAAAAGGTTATAAAATTTGAAAAACCGGGGGTGGGACAAATGCGACCTTTGTTTTGCGCACCTGGACATTTGCGCACCTTTTTTTTTGCTGGAAAAGGCCTTAGGAAAGGTCGTAGAGCTTAGGTCAAGACCGTAGGTCGTAGAGCTTCAAAAATGTTTTCATAGAAGGGAATCGTATGCGTAGATTCCGAATTTCGACAAATCAGACCTATCTAACACGTCAAATTTGGGCTAAAAGGCAAAAACTACGCCACTTAACGCTTTTCCGCAGTTTTTGCCTTTTAGACCAAATTTGACGTGTCAGCGAGGTGTGATTTGTCGAAATTCGGAATCTACGCATACGATTCCCTTATATGGAAATATTTTTGAAGCTCTACGGCCTTTCCTAAAGCCTTTTCCAGCAAAAAAAAGGTGCGCAAATGTCCAGGTGCGCAAAAAAAAGGTCGCATTTGTCCCACCCCCGAAAAACCAACTTTGCAACGGTAAACTTTTTGATTTCCGCGATTTGAAGGCTCGTGAAAGCCGTCGGTGCAAGACTTGAATCATACCAAAAACGATCGGAAAATTTCAGCTAAAAATGATTTTAAAAAGGATCGCTTTCACACAATTATCAATCTTATTGATATTTTTTTTTGCATAAACCTTTATAAATTGTTTCTCAAGAATGCAGGCTAAAGTCGGGCCAACGATCGCTCCATTCAGCGATTTTTCCACAAAAACTCCACTCAACAAATCGATATCTGATTTTGAAAATTTTAGATTACCTATTTTCTTTCTTACAATCAATTTTGTGATACAAATTTTTGAGAGAGTTGATCGATCGATGGGGTGAAATGAATTCATCGGAGAAATCAACAAAATGAGAAATCTAAAAGTGATCGGAATTTGTGGGATTTCTACGGCCCAGTAGAAACATTTCGCAGCATATTTCGCTATAATACAGTGAAACCGAAAAGTACTAGTACTAGTACATACTTAGTAACATCTATAGAGTGACCTAAGCCTAAGCCTAAGCCTAGTCCAAGCCTAAGCCTAAGCCTGAGCCTAAGCCTAAGCCTAATTCTTGAGAGAGTTGATCGATCGATGGGGTAAAATGAATTCATCCGAGAAATCAACAAAATGAGAAATCGAAAAGTGATCGGAATTTGTGAGATTTCTACGGCCCAGTAGAACAGACCCCCTAACGGTGGGCTGCTTCAGAAATCATAAAAATGATTGCCAGAAACGAAAAACCAAACATATTCAAGGTATTATAATTGAATCTCCTTAGTCGCGATAAAGATATTCAGTCATCTGTGTACTTTTTATTTCGCTATAATACAGTGAAACAGAAAAGTACTAGTACTAGTACATACTAGTAACATCTATAGAGTAACATCTATAGATGTGACCTAAGCCTAAGCCTACGCCTAACTGGCTGAGATCCAGAAAATGGGGGTTTAGCCCAAACCCAAATAGACTTAGTGCGAGGCGCTAGCCGCTAGCCTTCGCACTGAGTCCAAGCCTAAGCCTGAGCCTAAGCCTAAGTCCAAGTCCAAGCCTAAGTCCAAGCCTAAGCCTAAGCTTAAGCCTAAGCCTGAGCCTATAGAGTAACAAAACACAATCTATAGACGTACCTTTTTCAAACCACACTCATTTCTCCATGAATCATAAGAGGGTAATCCATGATCTCTTCCGATGAAAATTCCCTCAACGAATAGATGAAGATGATGAGTGGATGATTCAAATAAAAGGGAATCAGGGAAATCAATCGATGAGAGACTTGAAGCAGAATCGCTCAAAAGTTGTCTGGAAAAATAAAGAAAATATTCAAGAGTTTATTTTTAATGTTACAGCATTTACAGTGGTCCACAAATGTATTGTCCCATTGCCATCCAAAAGTTTCCTTCGTACGAAAATCTTGCAAAATAACGATATTCCCAAAAAGTGTAGGGTATTTTGCTTACCCATAATACTCTACTTTTCAGGATTATAAGATTTATCCGTATACATTGCAGAAAAATTAAAGTATAAAACCAAAACAATAAGTTACTTAACAAATAGCTCCACAAAAGTAATGTCCCATTGATGTTTTCCTTGATTATTCTTTTTATTTTTGCTTTCTATGAACATTAAATGTATTTTATTTTATTATTTAGATGACTGGCAAGAAAAACCTTGACACTCCAACGAAGCTCCGAATCGCCAAGGCCCGGGAAAATGGGATGCGGGAAAAGGATGTGGCCAACCTCTTCAATTGCTCGATAAGGACGGTGCGCCGCATTCTTTCTCAATCAAAAGTCTACCGAAACCTTCATCGAGGCCTCAAGAGTGGCCGACAACCAATCACAACCACAAAAGAAGATCGAGCCGTGATCCAAATGGTGAAAAACGATCCTAACAAAACATCAACCGATGGAAGCCAAATGATGAGGGATCAATTTAACAAGGTTGTATCGCCGGAAACGATCAGACGACGATTAAATCAAGCTGGATTATTTGCAAGAAGGGCTGCCCGTAAACCTCTGACAAATTCTAAGCACCGGAAGCAGCGCCTTGACTTTGCACGGACCTACCGAAGTTGGACGACACGTGATTGGGCGAAAGTATTATTTACCGATGAGACAAAAATCAATTTATTTCACGCGGATGGAAACCATCTTATTCGGCGACCAACTGGAAGGCGATACTCACTCAAGTACATTCGGCCTACCGTGAAATTCAACGGTGGAAACATAATGTGTTGGGGTAAGAACCTTTTTAGTATTTTGTCACCTGACTGTTTTTCTTTAGGAGCGATGTCACGAACTTCAGTAGGTCCATTAGTTCACGTCAACTCAACGATGGATGCTGTGGCCTACAAGAACATTATGGAGACTCAAATGCTTCCTTTTGCAACTCGAACCATGCCTCCTGGATGGATGCTCTACCAGGACAACGACCCGAAACACAAGTCGAGACTGAAGATGGGACGGCTGGTGACACTTCAAAATGGTACCAGAGCTCGTCTGCCCGGATGGTTTGCGGCAAATCGTGTTAAATTGATCAATCCACCTCCCTACTCACCGGATCTCAATACAATTGAACATTTGTGGTCATTTGTGAAGTCGCGCCTCAAGGGAAAGAAATTCGATTCGAAGGCCGCCTTATGGGTTCACATTCAACGTCTTTGGGCCACCATCCGCCCAAGTCTTTTGAAAAATCTCGTGGATTCCATGCCGGAACGACTCAATGAAGCGATAAAAGCAAAAGGAGGACCAACCAAATATTAATTTTTTGAAAAAATTGTTAATTCTTTGCAAATGGGACATTACTTTTGTGGAGCTATTTGTTAAGTAACTTATTGTTTTTGTTTTATACTTTACTTTTTATGCAATGTATACGGATAAATCTTATAATCTTGAAAAGTAGAGTATTATGGGTAAGCAAAATACCCTACACTTTTTGGGAATATCGTTATTTTGCAAGATTTTCGTACGAAGGAAACTTTTGGATGGCAATGGGACAATACATTTGTGGACCACTGTATAAGCAGTGATAGCTAAAGTTGCTCACTCTATGGAAGATTGGGAGACATCGTGCAGATCGGTGGGATGTCTTAAAGCAAAAATAATCTAAATAATATTTATATAGCTTTAATTCTATAGTTGATTTATATCTACAAACGACTATTATCAGACAGCTTTAGTAAGAAAGTTACCGTTTTTTTGAGTGTTTCTATTTCCGATAAAGTTCCGCCACGCTCATTTTGATCATAGTGATATTCAGAGTCGGGAAGAAGCTTCTAAAAAATATATGTCGTAGCCGATTATGAATGAAATTTTTTGGCAAATCTTTCTAGTAGAGCAACCCTTTAATGTATGAGGACAATATTATATCATCTTGTAGCGAATTAAATTCTGCGTCGATTGGTACCAAATTTGTGAGTTTCGGTTAAAAATTACCGGCGCTACAACGTTTCATTCAAAATCGGCGGGACCCCCGTAGCCGATTATGAATGAGTGGGTCTAGGAGCGTCCGACCATCAAGTATTTGGTATCATTCAACGCAGAATCATTAATAATTATGTTAAATTTTTTAAATTAGCAAGATTTGATAAAAAGAAAAAAAATTAGAGCAAAAAAACTGTTTGTTCAAGAGGAAACTTTGAGGCCCCATAATTTTTTTTCTTTTTATCCAATCTTTCTAATTTTAAAAAGTTAACATAATTATTAATGATTCTGCGTTGAATGATACTAAACACTTGATGGTTGGACGCTCCTAGACCCACTCGTTCATAATCGGCTGAAATTCATAATCGGCTACGACATATAAAAGGTAATTCATGATATAGATAAGAATTTGCTAATATTTAAAAACCTTAGAAGCTATTTCTCTGCCTAAGAGAAGCGGCAACATTTCGTTGTATGTGAGGTGTTGAAGAAGAGCGCCGATGATTTTCCGTGACTCTTCGAACAGTCTCTCATCCGTCCAACTTGGGTTGATTCTCTGGAAAAAATTGATTTTAAAAAAACTGAAAGAGTTGTGTTTGTCTTGACTGCGGTTTACGCTAGCTTTTTCCAGTTTTTTCCGAAATTCTTTTCATCAAGAGTATACAGGGTGGCTGATAATTACGTGCGCCAAAGAAAACGCCATAATTTAATTTTCTTTCAAAGAAAATGTAAAAATCTTTATTTATATAGTAGTTGTAACAAAAGCATTTAATAATCACAAGAAATTTTCGAAGTGGCCTCCATCCGCTTTGATACAGGCTTCAATTCGCTTCTTTACAGAATCGACGGTGCGGCGGAGATAATTTGCATCTAAGTCGTTCTAGATTTTGATCAATTCTCGACGTAAATCATTCAAATTGGTGATTTTTCTATTTCTCAATTGTTCTTCCATAAAACCCCAAACCGAAAAGTCCAACGGATTGAGATCCGGGCTGTTTGCAGGCCATTGATCCTTCGTCAAAAAAGAGCCAATTTTGGTTTCGAGAAAGCGAATTGTTGTTTTGGCTCCGTGGGCCGGCGCCCAATCTTGTTGAAGGGTCAAATTGGGATGGCTCCTCTTCCATGGCACGACAGCTTTCTCGAGAATCTCTTTTTGATAGACTTTTGCGTTAATCTTCACATTTTTATCGATAAAAACCAACGGGGTCTTGCCCGAAGCACTGATGCCACCCCAAACCATCAAACTTTTTGGAAACAGACCTTTTGTAGCGACTTTTCGTTTACGAGTGCTCTTGAGAGCTGGACTGAGAAGTTGAAGGTGATTTTGTGAGTTTTTAGCCACTTCCAAGGTGAAAATCTTCTCATCTGACCAAAGAACATCGTCAATGCGCCGCACCTTGAAAAAAGCTCGCAATTTCTTGCATTTCTCCTTCCGGTTTTGCTTGGCTTGATCGGTGAGCACTTGCCCGTTTAACAGTCGATAACTTCGAAGTCCGAGCTCATTTTTCACTATCGATTGAACCGAGAAACGCGAAATTTGAAGCTGTTTTGCCATCTTGTTCAAACTACGATCGTCTTTTCGCTCGATCCTCCTCTTGATGATCCCACGCATCTTTCGGGTGTTAACGGTCCTCTTTGGTCCTCTTCCGGGCTTGGACTGAACATGCCCCTCATCTTTCCATTGCTTTACGATCTTCTGGACGGTCCTCAGAGCCACCCCAAGCCTCGATGCGATCGACGAGTTCTTCATGCCGCTCGTCGCCAGCTGTGCGATTGCGTCCCGACTAGCGCACGTCTTTGTCATGACCTAGAAAACAACTTTTTTAACAAAAAATTATTAGACCACGATAAAAAGAATATTAAAACACAAAAAGATGAGTAGTAATGCTTTATACATTGTTTAAAACTATGATGCTGATGCTGCGCGCACGTAATTGTCAGCCACCCTGTACAGCGGGAACTATGGTAGGCGCATCTTTCGGCGCATCTTTCGATGCCAACTTTTTCTAAAAAGCTAGTGCATGGGTACGAAGAACATAAAGTAATTGAACTATAATTCTTTTAATTCTTATCAGTAATTGAATTTTTAAAGATCCTCAGAATAGAGAATTTCTTCTTCAGAATAGAGAATAGAGAACCCACCAACAACTCGCTGGCAATCTTATTGTGTGCTTTTGCAAAGACATTTTTCAGCATTACCATTTGATGAAGGCTTAATTTGATTTGACCTAAATTTTCATAAAATCTAATCATTTTTTTTCTACAAACCTTCCACAAAAGTCCTCTTTGTGTGCATTTCGGCAAGAGAATTCCCATAGATTGTGCTCGCATCAAGATATCCGCTCACCATATTCACTTGTTCTCTTTCGATCGGATGACAATCTTTTGAGGGAATTGCAAGACTTCGAGAGTATGAAGAACATGAGGGAATCCTGGAATTTCATCTTTAAATTGCCTGAAGTTTCATCTTGCTTGAATTTTTGAATAATTAAAAATAGTCTAAAGTCGATCATCTTTCCAACTCACATATCATCTTTTGTTGAATGAATACATTCAGGAGAATCGCTACAGCAACTCGAAGAACCCATCACTGCAAAAAGGATCTTTTTAAGAAGGATTTCGTAATTTTAAAACAATTCTCATTTGTATATGGAGCTCTTCTAGAGATATCGTCGAAGACAAGCGAGAGAAATTCCGCGAAAAGACGGCTGATCGGAAGAGATTTAGGTGAAGAAAGCTGAAATCGTTATTTTACATATATTGAGTTACGGTGTTGAGGATAACGAATAGAAAACAAGAGATTCTTCACCTTTTCGAGTTGATTCACGACCAGGAATGGATCTGGGAGACGTTTTTGTCGAGCAGCACTCAAGCCTAAAAATTGGGAACCTCTTTCGTCAGCGCTTTGAATCAACGGTGAAAGTTTTTTTTGCTAAATTGACATTAAAGTGATTTTATTCTATAGTTAAGGAAAATTTCAATAATGCTACTTTTTATCAATCAATATCAATATCTCAAAACCGCGCACCATCGTCGTAATTCGGTGGCAACACACGGAGAAATGGTTCGAGTGAAGCGCCCCATTCTGGATGACCTACATTATTGCAGCCACCAGCTGGGGTCCTGAATATGCAAAATTTTTTCTAGAATCCTTATCAAAAGCTTTGCCTATCCTGTGGCTACTGTAACCCCACCGAAATCTCCCGGGTGCACACTGAAATTTCCGTTGTGGGCAAATCTTGCGCAGCTCTTCAGCGTCGCCTTTCGAAATTCGATTTCTGAATGTTATTTAATTTTCTTGGATATAAATCAATTTATATATCAAAGATATTTCAAATTACTATACTGTAGGTTATGAAATTCTCACCCATTCGCCCTCCGTGCCACCTCCTCGGCCACCAGAGCGGCGAAAGCTGAATTGCGAGAGATTTTCACCGATGTGAGCACATCTTTGAAGAAATCTGAAAGAAATTGAGCAATTTTAGATATATACCTAGCTTAGCAAATGATAGCTGGTAATAAAAAAAATTATCCAACCAAAAGGAAATCCTTGATAAGTCGCATTGAACCATCTCTCAACACTCGAGATAGCATCCCAGACCCGGCCTCTAGAGCGATCTAAAGCTTCAATTTCACCGATGTGTGCACATCTTTGAAGAAATCTTTATGGCGTATAACTTTATGATGAAAATCTTATATTGATATATTGATAGCACCGAGATTTATTTCTTAACTTCCGAACTTCTTAACACTAGTTACGGTACTTTAATTGGGTCAAAGATTACGCTAGCCGAGGAGCTGAGGCGAGCTTTAGAACTGCTATCCAAGTCGGCGTTTGGCGAAAGTTCGCAAGTTTTTTTATATGAACACAACAAAGTTTAGATGAACCTTTTGCGTGAAACGGATGAAACTCGAAATCGTGGTGTCGCCAAAAGTGATGGTGGTGTTGAGCAAATGCGCTCAGAAAGAAGAAAAATATCCATAAATGACTCATGAAATTTTTGAGGAATTTAACGTAATAATATGTAGAGAATCAAAAAGTGAATACTCTCTAGGTTCTTCTCATTCTCAGTCTTAATTGTCTACCGGTTTCGTCAAAAAAAAAAAAGAAAAGAAAGGGAAAAGTTTTGTGTGAATGAATGGATGACAGAGTCATTCTCTTGTTTCCCTCCTTTTCTTCTCAATATCATTTTTCCATCATTTAGCTTCAATCAGAAGAAATGTCTGCCCTAGAAAATAGGCAATTATTTTTTGATTGACAATTGAGAATTTGATTTGCTGCAAGTAAACGATGAATCATGGGGCTGATAGAAGCAAAAATTACTCTAAATTCAACTTTTTGAGGTAGGCTAGGGTTTAATTTTTGACTTCAAACAGGTTAATAAAACTTTTTTTGTTAAATTTAAAAAAAACAATTATTGAAAAAAGATGATGATTGTTATCTTTGTTAAACGTCCATTTCCGGAAAAAAAGTTAATCATTTAATTCTGCATGCAAAGAATTTAACATCAAATATACCAATTCCAGAGACAATCATTTATTGGGCACAGACGACACAATCAAAATGGATCACAAACGAGCTCACGTAGGGAAAGCATTTACACAGAATTCGAAGAAAAATGATTAGTTGCAGAAGAGATAGAACTTAGTGGAGCCGCGTTGATTGTCAAAAGCTTGCCCTTCACATCTTATTCTCCCAATCGTAGGGGAGTTCCTAAAGAAAAAACTATGCATAAAACTTTAAGGTGAACCATACCTTCACACCGTTGGACGTCAAAGCCCTGCGAATAGTCCTGTAGCAATATTGATAGTCGGGAGCATCGTAGTACTTAAGGTTGTCGATGTGCGTCATCAATTCGCGATATTCATAGGGGCAACCAACAAACAGCTCGTTGATGGCGGTGTTGTGGCAGCGCTTCTTGTATTCTCCCACCTAAAATCCAATATTAAACGAGAGAGCCAAAAGCATCTTTACCTGGTGCATGTCTTGGATGTTCTTCCAGGGCAGATTGCCGGTTGTGAGTTCGACTAGCATGTAGAGCCAGCTTTCGACATCATCCTAAAGTTAACATCATCTACTATATATAAAAGGCAAGTGTCTGTCTGTCTCAGCACCCAGATCGAATTTCGGAGTACCCTTTTCTTTTTAGATTGGTAATATTATGCTGAAGCCTCCCGCAAAAAAAGAAAATCGTCTACTTTTTTGAAACTCAAAAAACAGCTAAACCGCTGGTTGAAGCAATAAAGCCATAAAGTTACCTTGCGACAGAGTTCACGTTGAAGATGGCACGAGATAGGCGCGTAACGGACGGTTCCTCGAAATCCGGCAGCGGCACGCGGCTTGCGGATGATTCCTTGCTCGTTGGTGAATTTGCGGGCCATTCCGAAGTCGAGCACGTAGATCTTGCGCAATTCGTCCAACCCGATTCGACCAATCGTGTAATTACCGGGTTTCACGTCTCTAAGCAAGAAAAAAATTGAAAAATGTCATAAATCCAAGTTTATACCTGTGAAGATAACCGATTGCGTGAAGATCCTCAAGTCCCTCAAGTGCTTGGATTCCACAACCAATAGCCGTGCCAAGTGACATGTGTTGACCGGGTCCCTCTTTGCGTAGATCTTGAAGCGATTTCCCGACGAGCGTCATCACCACATAGTTGAATGTCCCATAGCGTCCCTTGTCGTGGATCTTGCAAAAATGACGTCCACCGCGCTTGCCCAATTCGGTCAACACGAACACTTCCATCTTGAGCACCTAAAAAAAATGAATGGGTAAATAGGAACAAAATTATAAAACAAAAAACAACTTGCCCACCTGAATCTGCTCGTTGACACCCTCCACTTTCAGCGCATATTGGCCGGTTGAATCAGAGACTTTGTAGACGGCACCGAAACCTCCCTCACCCAACTTCTTCTCGATTTTCCATCGCTCGACCTAAACGGCAAAGATTGTTTGTTAAAGTTGCAGAAACCAAAAAATTCTAGATCTTTATTCATGGATTGTCTTAGTACCTAGATTCATTCAAAAGCTCTTCTCTTACTACAATACAAAACATAAAGTAAAGCCAAAATAATGTAAACTTTTCAAAAATTAAAATAAAGCTAAATATGCCTAATCCGGACCAATTCAAAATCAAAAGTTAAAGTCCAAACCAAAAAAAACCACAAAATGATACCTGAGTCCCGGGTTGAAGCTGGATGAGTTCTTGAGCCATGATGAAACCAGTTGCTGAAGAAAGTAAAGACGAATGATGATTTCCGTTCGCTCGGATTCGCTATAAGGAAGAGAACAAATGCAAATTTTAAAAAATTTCGAATTTACTAATATTTATTTTGAATTCGCCAACGTGCACTCAAACTTTAGGCTTTTTTTGTTTTCACGGGAGTGGGACAAATGCGACCTTTTTTTTTGCGCACCCGGACATTTGCGTTTTAAAAAAGCTCTAAAAAGGCTAACATTAACCAATTTCTATTCCAAAAGTTGTTTTTCTAGGTAATTTTAGGGCGTAGAATCGAAATTTTGACATATCAGAGCTTGTGGAAACAAACGGACGGAGTTTTATACAAAGAGAAAAATCGACAATTTTCTGTAATTTGATCTGGCCGTTTTGTCTTTCAAATTGGTTCCACACGCTCTGTTATGTCAAAATTTGAATTCGACACCCTCAAATTACCTAGAAAAACAACATTTGGAATAGAAATTGGTTAATATTAGCTTTTTAGAGCTTTTTAAAACGCGAAAAAAGGTGCGCTAATGGGCAAGGTGTGGAAAAAAAGGTGCGGAAAAAAGGTGCGCAAATGCCCGGGTGCGCAAAAAAAAAGGTCGCATTTGTCCCACTCCCGTTTTCACTTTTTATTTTGACATTTGTTTGCCATAAATACTCTAATAGCTCCCCTATAGGAGCGTCGTGTAGTCTAAGTTTACTCCCAAACAAACGCTCATATCTTGACACCAGAACGTTTGTTTCTGCGCGTTTAGGTATCAAATTAAAGTAGAGAATATGGGTGATTTTTAAGATATAACATATATTTTTAGCATTAAGAAGAGCTTAGAAAAAAGATGATTAAAAGGTGGCAAAAAAGCCGATTTCTTATCATTTTTCAATCATTTTATTATTTGTAAGCGCTAAGCAAAAATTATATATCCCAAACCACCCCCCCCCCCCATTTATTATTTAAAACGACAGAAACAAATGTCTGGGCGCCGAGATATGAGCGATTCTTAAACTTAGACTACGCGACGCTCCTATAGGAGTGCTATTAGAGTATTTATGGTATATGTGTTTCTTTTAGGCAACGGCTCATCACCTCATCAGTGAAACGCAAGCAGAATTGAGCCCTACAAGCAAGATTTCGTGAGCACGGTGCAAGCACTCGATGACGTGGTCACTCCATAATTTGTGGTCTTTCAGGTACTTTGACAAGAATACTATTATTTTTTATTTTTATTAAACGTATCCTTTAGACACTCGCATGGGCCTCGGCTCTTGTGTTTGCGGCGAACATCTCCTCGTATGTGTCGGCCTATCTCCACACTCCCGTCCTCTCGTATGCTATCGCTGGATTTGCCGCTGGGCTTTTCCTTGCTTTAGCTGCTGTTCCCGCTTACGCCTATTATCCGATTCAAAATGTATTTTTTTAAACCAGTCTCACCTATTTAACTTTTAGGATTTGACTTCTGGCGCACAAGACGTAGCATTTCGTTTCCGCCTTCTTGCCTTTGCTGTTGTCCAGGGATTACTTGTCGGCTTTATTCTTTAGGTAAATTACCTTTTCTGAATACATTTCACTTGAATTTTCTAGAATTCCAACCTTTCGGCAGCTCCATTGTCAGCTGTTTTCTTGGCAATCATAGCCGTCACTTATTTGGAGGCAATCGTCAGGTTTATTTTTGGCATTTCTTGACCGAATATCTTTCATTTAGCTTCTCTTGGGCGGATCAGTCGGTGTCTCGGTCGGTGTAACGCTTGTGTTGGGGCTTCTCTCGGGTTACTTCACTCTTCCCTACTTGGTGTTCACTAATCTTTATGGAACGATCGCTGCCGTCACTTTGCAATACCTCTACAAGAATGTCTGATCCGAAACGGTACCTTTTATATTTGTTGTGGCCTTGTCATTCAAATTGATATTTCAAAAGATCTTTTTTTAAAGGTTCCCACTCATCAATACCAATTGGCTCTCCTCATCGCTTTTACTACCGCCAATCTTGTCATTCGATCACTCATTTGATCTTCGGAATGGACGCTGAGGTATACGCTCAATACAAGGAAAGCCACAAATATTAGCGTAGGACATTTTATTATATGATATATTGGTGCTCTGTTCTAATTTTATTTAGTGTCCAATCTTTTGGATCTATCATCCATTCTCCGTGAATCGGCCCTTCCTCTTCATCAAAGACACGAACACTTTTCCATGATTGGACAAATAAATATCTTTTGTTTCTTTCCTTTGTGTTAAAATGTTTACGCCTCAAACAAAACAAAAATTTTAATTGTTTTGAAAGGTTTACCTTTTTATTATATTTTTTTGAAATTGAATGTGAAACAACCCTGATATGAATTAAACGAAAGGGGAAAGTATTGAGAAATTCTGTTGGCGTTTAATGGTAGATCATTTGGGGAAAACTAAAAGTTTAAGGAAAAGAAAAGTCCTTTTTGTTCATCTCTGAAATTTTGTTTGTCAAATGTTTTTCCGAATTTTTAATCTTCGGCGAATCTTCGAAAGCGTTTGGAATTCTTGGCTGAAATCGATGCCAAAGCATGAACTCTCATCTCCACAATTGCCCGTGGAAAAGTTTAGATATTTGATTGAATATTTTCAAAAGTGTCTGATTCAATAAAGGTATTCAGTTGTCCGTTGTCCACAGGGTACACAGGATTATAGAAGCTTGAAGTAAAAAATATCAACTATGAGAAAATCCCAACTACCAGGTCTTACTAGACTTCTTTCTTCAATCCTTAGAATCTTTCATCATCTATTTACCTAAAGCTTGAAGTGTTTTCTTTGAAACTATATAAAAGTTAACTTAATTAATATTAATATAAATATAAACTATAGAAAAGTTAACTTCTAGCTTATCTCTCGAGAGCAGTTAAAAGTTGAAAATATATTTTGATCCGACAGCTGTGCTATTTTTTCAGACTTGACGTATTTCATGCCGCTTGCCAATTTTTGTCGGTGAGGAGAGAGGGTGGCCGTGAATTTTTGGGTGCTCAATTTTGTGCCACGCACGAGTGCACATCGACATTCACTGAGTGAAACGAAAAAAAGAAAACGAAAGAGGAATTCCGCTACAAAAGAAATATACGACAGGGAGGGATGGAAGAGAAAAAGTCTTTTATAGGCAAGTCAATAAAGTTATTCATCGAATCGAGAAGGGGTTTCTATTTTGAGGAAAATCTTTTTTTTTGGTACTATCCGTTTAAAGCTTAAAACTCAAGAAACTCGATTTCGTGGTTTGACACTACTATTTTTTTCACAGTTAGCTCAGATTTATCTGTGTATTTGCTTCTAGTCTCAATAGAGACAATTGGCATTCGGTACTTGTTTTAAAATCGTCAACTTTGTCCTAAATTTTTGTTTTAAAGTCTTAAATCTGTCAAAAAAAATTATAGACGTGTTTTTTTGTTTGCAAATTTCCTGCGAGAAACCTTTCCCACAAGGCCTCAGAATGCAAAAAAAAGTTTTGCCAGCGAGAGGATTCGAACCAGGGACAGGAGGTTAGCAGCACACTATCAACTAGACTACCAAAACACGCCGATGAATCGGCGGCAAGGCTTTAAGAAGGCTAGCTTGCTATTTGGCGAAACTGGCTGAGACTTTAAAGGATTATATCTCGAAAACGGCTTATTATAAGTAGGATTTGAAAGCAGTTTTTTGTTTTTTTGCTAGTTTTAAGTGTGCCATTGTGTTAGAAAGTGTTTTTTAGTTTCTTTATCTCAAAAATAGCATCATTTCAACCAATCAAAGTACAGAAACGTACAGAGTACGTTTTTATGACTGTCAAAAAAATTATAGACGTACTTTTTAAGAAAAAGTTAACAAATAAAAATAACAACACAAACCAAATAAATGAATAATGTGTGAGCCCTCCTTGCTTTAGTCTAACTTCAAAAAGACGTCTTGGCATCGAAAAGACAAAGTTTTGGAGCGCTGTCCGCTGAAGTCGGTTCCAGGCTTCTTAAATGGCTTTCTCGAGTTCATTCACGCTCGAAAATTGCTTGTTTCCCTTGTAGACATCCCGAACGAGTGTCCCCTACACACTCTCGATCGGGTCCAAGTCGGGGCTGCAAGCGGGCCAAGCGAGAGTGTCGATTTTGTGCGCTGTCAGCCAATCTCTTGTGGAGCAACTCGCATGGATACTCGCATTATCGTGCATAAAAGTGAAATTATTGCCCGAATTGTTGTTCAAATAGACGACTAGATGTTTGTCCAACGCTTGCTTTAGTCCAACTTCAAAAAGACGTCTCGGCATCGAATCGGCAGAGACAAGGTTTTGTCGTTTTTGTATGTCGGCATTTGTAGTGCTAGGTTTTTGCCTGCTCAGGTAACAGGCTCAAAACACTCGTGTACTAGACCTGGTTTTCAATCTGACTTTTTTCAAATCAAAAAAGATCCATTTAATTCAAACCCAGATTTCGTAATGCACTTTTTTCGTAATTCGTTTCAAAAATTATGAGTTCGATCTTGGAAAAATCGCTTGCTTTTCACAAATTTTAAATATAAATCTTTGAAAAGCTTTGTACAATTTGAGAGTACAATTGTACAATTGTGCAACAATTTTACACGTTTCTTTGATCGTTTACGGTTCTCTGTTCCACTGTGAAAGTCAAAGTCAAGTTTTTTTTTTCTTCACATAAAATCCCATTCCCGAGAAATGTCTCCAACTATTGTAAAATCTTTTCATTTCAAGTGAAAACTATTCAGTCGTCTTTTAAGGAAAAAAAGGTTTGCCTGTAGAAAAAAAAAAGTGGTGCTTCAAGGTCTCGCGGCAATTAGCAAACGGGACAGTTTGGGAAAAGGAGGGGAAAAGGGCTTTTGCCGAGCAAAGAATAGACTAGTCTTTTTCAGAGAACTCATTTTTTTTTGCGTTTCGTTTTCTGACTTGAGAAAGATTTTCCTATTTTGATTCTGAAGGAATTTTACGGCTAATCCAACTTTTCTTCTCAATAAAAGTGTTTTGTGAGAAGGTTGTGAGCTAATGCGTTTCTTAAAAGACATCTACTTTCAAAACTGCCTAACCAAGCTGCAAGTTTTCATTCAATCAGCCTGTGGCGAATTGCCACTGCTCTGCAGTTAATCAAAATTCAATACACAAGTTAAAATTCAAAGCTGATGGATAAACTACCGTAATCAGCCACTAGACGATATTCAGTTGTCCGTTTGTCGTGACTTGTGTACTTAAAAACCCATTATTTAAGCTTTGTCTTGAGTCAGTTGTGGGGAGTGGGACAAATGCGACCTAAGACATTAAGACTAAGACCGGACATTTGCGCACCTTTTTTTCCGCACCTTGCCCATTAGCGCACCTTTTTTCGCGTTTTAAAAAAGCTCTAAAAGGCTAACATTAACCAATTTCTATTCCAAAAGTTGTTTTTCTAGGTAATTTTAGGGCGTAGAATCGAATTTTTGACATATCAGAGCTTGTGGAAACAAACGGACGGAGTTATACAAAAGAGAAAAATCGACAATTTTCTGTAATTTGATCTAGCCGTTCTGTCTTTCAAATTGGTTCCACAAGCTCTGTGGAACCAATTTGAATGTTCCACAGCATTCCACAAGAAATTTATTTCTTACACAGCCCAATTTTGATTTCATTGATTGAGTCTTGTGACTCCTCATCGAATGTGGCCAAAATTATCGTAAATACTGTAATAATACCCCACCCTTCTCGTACAGTCGCGTAGTCGCAAAAGTTTTTTAGTATTTCATTTTTTTCAAAGCGCCCGTACTTTAAAAAAAATGCGTCTTTGGTATCAAAAAATAGCTGAAATTCAGGGCTATTTTTTGATACCTAAGCGGGCATTGTAGCATAAACCAGTGTCGAGAAAAACTCGTTCAAAGCTAGACTACGCAACACTTCGCACCGTCATTATGGGGGTGGGGTACTATTACAGTATTTACGGTAGGCTAATCCAATGATAACTGAACCACGAAAGAGTAGACATGGTTTTGATTTTCTTTTCCTCTGCTGAGTTTTTGGTTTTAAAAGGTTTTAGCATTTGGGTCAATCAAACTTTTTTCAATTATCAATAATCGATTCGACATAGATTTTTCAATACCTCAAAATGCTCAAGATGCTCTAACTTTCTATTCAACCACTCTTTCCCCATTTTTTTCTTTTCTTTTTTTCATCCTCCGATCATCAAGTTGCGACTAGCTGCAATTTGTCCTTCATCACAACAAAATATCTCCTTTTTTTCTCTCCCATTCTCTCACCCTAAAATGAAATGACCTTCTTAGCTAAGCAAAAAAGACTTCTGTCTCTCTCACTATTTCCCGTTTCAAGTTATCAACTCGAAACGGGATTTTTAGTCTTTTAGTCGTTGAATTAATCTTGTCTGAGTAAGAAATAGTAGATTTTGATGATCTATAGGAGTTTCGTGATTAAGATCGATCTTGATTATGTTGGCTCTATGGAAAAATTAAGAACATTAAGAGATAATTTCTTCACTCAACAAAAATTGAGAGATAATTTCTTCACTTGTTCATAACATTTATGTTATTCCAAAGAGGTCAATGATTTTGTTTTTCAATTTCTAATCAATCCTTGAATACTATTACTCTTTCACATAAAATTGTGTCATTTTAAAACATGATATTGATATGTGAAGAGCATTCAGCTTTAATTTGGCTTCAATTAGCTTCAAAATAGCTTCAAAATAGCTTCAAAATAGCTTCAATTAGCTTCAAAATAGCTTCAAAATAACTTCAAGATAGAGCTGATGACACTAGAATAAAGACTTGAAAATTGATAGGCTAAAATAAAAGCTTCAGTTGTTCAGGGGTAAACCAGTTTATCATAAACTAGAAATAGGAAACCTTTTTTTTCATTTTCTTTTCCATTTTCTT